CATGGTTAAGTTAATTATTCTACTTAGTTTTGTTGGAATACCAAAAGTGGACATAATCATCCTTAATTTCTTCCTTATTATTGTATCATATGCTTGTTTAAAATCTATGAAGCATAGGTAAATATCTGCATTAAATTCCCAGCATTTTCCCATTATTTGTCTCAGGATGAACAAATTGTCTATTGTTGACCCATTGGGTCGAAATCCTGATTGATATTCTCCTATTATTTTTTCTATATATGGATCCAGTCTCTTTTTAGTAACCTTGTTAAAATTTTATATGCTGTCGGTAGTAATGATATACCTCTATAGTTACTACATGTTAATTTATCCCCTTTCTTAAATATGGGACATATAATGTTCTTTCCCCAATCCTTTGGTATCTTTTCTTCTTCCCACACTTTATTTATAATTCTGTGGAGTGCTATTATTCCTTCTTGTCCTCCTGCCTTCAATAATTCTGCTGGTATGTTATCTCCTCCTGGTGCATTATTTAGTTTTTATTCCTTTACTGCTTCTTCCACTTCTTCCTTTGTTGGAGGCTCTATTATCTCTTCCTCTTCCCCTTCTCCATCGTCTGTATTTTCTTCTTCATTGTCCTCGTTATCTTCCATATTCTGATTTTGATTTAATAATTGTTCAAAGTATTCTTTCCATGTATTCATAACTTCTGTTTTATTATTTATTAGAAGCACTTTTTTGTCTCAGATAAATTCTATTTTTGGTTTGAAACCTTCTTTCGTATATATGATTTGACCAAAGGCATTTTTTGTTTTGTTATGTTTTAAGTCTTCTTCCATTTTCAGTAATTGCTCATTTAGAAAGGCCTGTTTCTTTTTCCTGCAAATCTTGTCTGCTTTCCTTCTTGCTTCTTTATATGCCTCATTTCTTGCTCTTGTTGGTCTTTCCATATATTCCATATATTTCTTATTCTTGAGGTTTATACTCTCCCTATATTCCTTGTCGAACCATTCTCTATTATCCTGTTTCTCTTGATATCGGAGTGTCCTCTCGGCTTCTGTAATTATTGCGGTTTTAAAATCTACCAATATCCCTTCTACCATTACTTCTTTATTTGCTCTATTGTAATTAATTAATTTTTTTAAATGTTTCTCTCTTATCACTCTCCGTAATCTTGTCAATATTAAATTTCTTGCATTTCTCATACTGCTTAGATCTTTGACAACTTATTTTACATCTATATTTAACCTCTACTACGTAATGATCACTATCACAGGTGGCTCCTCTTAATGTTCTTATGTCCAGGACAGTCATTGCAAATCGCTCCTCTATGAAGACATGATCTGTTTGATTGAAGGTTACCCCATCCGGTGCTGCCCATGTTCCTTTATGTATATTTTTGTGCAGGAAGTATGGAGAGCTGATGATCAAGTTCTTACTTTCTGCAAAATCTATTAATTTTATTCCATTATGGTTGGTTGTATCATGTAAACTTTCTGTCCCAGTTATTCCTCTGTATTCCTTCTCTTTACCTATTTTGGAGTTAAGATCCCCTAAAATAACCTTTATGTCATTACTTGGTATTGAATCATATGTCTCTTCCATTTGTTGATAGAAATAGTCTTTGACCTCCTCTTCTGTAGGTGCGTGCACGTTCATCAACTTCATATTGAAAAATTTTGTTCTAACTCTCAAGGTGCAAATTCTTTCACTTACTGGTTTAAAGTCTATTATTGTGCTTTTAAATTCTCATTCTATTACAAAGGCTACACCAAATTCCTTATTGCCTTCTGCTTTACCACTGTAACATACAGTGTGTTTCTTTAAGTCCATGACTCCTTTACCCAGCCATCTAATTTCCTGTATGGCTGTGATTTTCATATTGTACTTATCTATCTATTCTAATACTGATTTCATGGCACCCGGTTGATTGAGGATTTTCACATTCCATGTACCTAGAGAGCAGTCCATATTCTTTGCCAATTGTTGTCTTCCATTCTGTTGAGGTTTCTGAGGCTTGATTCCAGGTTTTGAGACATTTATATTTTTTTACAGTGGGAAGTCATCAGCCTCTTGCCCAACCCCCAACCTGGAGGACCAGGGTATCTCTTTTAGTCTGGGTCATCCCCTTTGACCTGTCCAGCAGGGGTGGTCCTACCAATAGCTATGATACCGCCGACATAGCCTCAGGGTCATTTGAATATGCAAGCCCCTCCACTATGTCAAAGTAGACACACCATCAGGGTGAAACACGATCATAATAACTGACAAATCTGTCTAGGGACACTGTGTATGTATGCCTCGTTGATAAATAGAATTTCTTATTGCCATGTGGGCTTAAAAACCTTACTTCATTTGCAAGCTAAAGGCTAGTATGGACGAATGAACTGAACTGTTCTTCCAAACATAACTGCAAAATGGTTATCTTTTACAGACTATGAAATCGTAACTAAAACATTTATACCAATGGAAACACTGCTGCGACTCAAGTAGTAGATACTGTGAATACCTTATAATTATGTAGTTTTCAATACCAGCCCAGCGATTGGCCCTATATTTTAGTTTTAGATTACACGTGTTTCCTAAAAATTTTGAGGCATACTGATTTGTTTCTCTGATTATTACTTCCACATGTCTGGCATACAAAAGAACTCAAAAACATTCCAGGGGGTTAATTGGGTCTTCTAAATCAATATTTATTCCAGGTTTGCCAGTAAATGGAAAATGTTGTCGCTTGGCACCTGAATTTGCCCATACATCAGGTTGCATGCTACTGTTGTCGCTTACATTTTCTGCTTCATCAGAGCTAACACTCTGTTCATCATCTGACAAAATTTTCAGATTTATTTCACTATCACTACTATATTCACTCTCTGAAATACCACTGTATTCATTCTCTTGTAACAGTTCATACAACACCTCCTCACCACTTACACACATATTTTTGCTAGGACCTTCCATAATGTTTAGTCAAAAGTACTTGAACCCAGGACAGCTATCAAGCTGTGGGAGCCTCCCACAGTGAAGCAAGTGTTACCTTATCAGTGCTCATCATGGCAGCTCCAATGCCAATTGGTACTTGGGCCACCTAGTGATAAAGTATTTTCACGTGTTGGGTGTTTGTAACATGACAAATAACTTCACGCCATCTTGGACCTAGTGAATTTATTCCACTCGCTCTTACATTTACACAATTTACAATCTCACAACTACTGCCATCGGCAGTATCACAATTACTTCTCCTGCTTCCGGCGAAGGCTAGACTGCAACTGACTGGTTATTCCCTCTAACTGATGAATACTCCTGTTATGTAGCTTCTGCACTGACAACAGAGAAAGCAGTTATGCGATAGCTTTCACTGTTGTGTGACATCGTGTTTACTGATTGCCTAGCAACAGTCACTGCACGGGCTTCCCTGTTGCGTGATGTTGTGTTTACAAAGGTGTCGCTGGGCAACCCTGCGTAGTAACCAGCGCACTTTGGCTCGGTTTTGCATGGACAAACACCACTTTCCTTACTGTTGCGTAATCTCATTTCCACTGTTGCATAATTTGGCAACCAAACGTTTATCAAGGGTCTGTCTTCATGGTAACTCGTTCCACCTCCTGTTGCCCAGCAATGGTTAGACATGTCACAGTATAAAGAAGTGGACATCCAACACGCTAGGATCAGTTACAACTATGCTTGCATCAAGAGAACACCGCAACAGTGAGTCTACCAGTAGAAGCATCGCAGCCAACTCCACCAGTGATCACTGCAGACAGCTCCACCAGTGATCACCAGTAAGAGCTTCGCCATCCAACTGGCCTTGCTGCCACCATCACCGGCTAACCTGCTACTGCACCCAGCATTCTACCAGCTTGCAATCAGTGGGCTGTTTCAAGGAAAAATGCCAACACTAGTGCTGGCTAGTAGTCTGCTGCAATGAGAACTTCGCCCAGCATCCAGCAGGCAAGCCCAGCTTCCAACAAACAGCCCTTTTAGGGACAACAATATCACTGCTGCCACTAGCTCAGGCTAGTCCACTATGAAGGGAGTTTTTGCCGGTATTCATCAGGCATGCTCTGCTTTCCTGATCGTCTGTACATGGTAGTAATATTCATTCTAACAGAAATAAATATCCATTTTCAAGCATCAACATCCCACAAAGCAATCAACAACTTCTTGTCATACTCTGAAGCAACTAGAACATCTTGCGAGCACAGAGTACAAGTCTGCATTATCAACTGCTATTATATCTATTACACAGTAAGCGGCCTCCGGAGTCTAGCGGTAACATTCCCACCTCAAGACTCAAGGTACGCGGGTTCAAACCCGGCAGAGGTCGTGGAATTTTTAAGGGCGGAAAAATTCAGGGAACAAGTCCTCCGGGAGGGACTTTAAGCTGTGGGTCCTGTGTCGTAGCTTTACAGCATGTAAAAGAACCTCATGCCTCAAGGAGGCCTCTGAGCCAAATTATTAAGGGCATTTCCCACCCAACAATAGTCTCTAACACCTCTGGTAGATGGGGGAAGCATCTAGATACCGCTGAGCCAGTAGAGGCCGAACTCGCTGGCTGAGTCGGGACTGATGGCATGCACCAGTATCAGTAGGGTATAGAGACTGGTAGAATATCACAGGGGGACGTACAATAGACCACTGGTCGCGATGCATGGGGAAACCCACCCCCTCCAATAATAATAATAATAATAATAATAATACATAGCAGTTAGAAACATGTAAGACTTCTACTGATGTCATGGCCATTATGGTACACAGTACCGCATAACATCTACAAATGTCATAACCACTTGACTGGTTAACATTCAAATTGAGCTAAAAAAAATCTTGTTCTTGATTCAATCTAGAAAATTCAAGACTTGCACAAGCCTACAGCATTATATAAACTGAAATGATGAGGTTTGGCCCAAAGCCATAACAAAGCATTGAAGACAGTATCATATTTTTCAATTTCTTTTTAAAATATGACAGTGCCTTGCTACTACCTTGCCCTGTGGTAACTCTGTTACACTTTTTCTGCATTTAAGTTTGTCCACGTCAGGGTAGTCAAGTAATAATTTTTTACACTAATTAATATCACTGTTGAGTGACAGGCTCTAGTATAATTATGATCAGTTACTACAGAGAACAATTACAATATTCAGGGCTTGTGTAAATGAAAAACACTTAAAGAAAATTATATTCAAGTTAAATGCAAAGCATCCACTGATACTCCTAACATGAAGAATTATTTGTCTGATTTAAGACCACTAACATTGTACGAAGAGACTGAGCAAAACCACAAGATTACTCACCTCAAGATAGTCATAAAGGCATGGGGGTGAGGATGTGTCCTCCACTTCAAAGTCTTGGAAGCAGAGCTCCACTGCCTGCCCAGGGAGCAGTTCTATTTCATAAATACAGATACGGTTTGTAGGATATGAATTGGGGTAGAATGGAGATTTGAGCACTGCACTAGGCTCACTGAATACACCACCACACACTGAAACACAAGGTATGTGGGTTCTACTCCAGGCATTTTAGACTGTTTGGACAGTAAGACTGCAATCTGATGAAGGAGAAAAATTCAGAATAGGGAAATGTTACAGTGAAACATTATTATAACACTAAATTATAAAATTCATAAAAATGTTCATTCCAATTACCTGTAATATCCAAATATGACTGAAATACATAACCTTGAAGGTTATCTCCTAATTATTAATTAAATATATCACAACACAGACCCAAGGTTTGCAAATTTAATAAGTGTATGACAATATGTATTCTCTTTAGTATGGAGAGATGAAAATAATGAAGAAAAATTAAACATTTTTGACATCTTTAGCATTATGAAAAATTGAATATCTTGCAGTGAAATTAAAAATGTTAATATATCAACTGCAGGTTACATGATTCAGCAAAAGCTGCATGCCATGATCAGAACTTTGCATGAATGTATGAGAGAAAAATATATATACGTAGGTCGTACCGAAAGTCGTGAGCAACTTTTTTTTGCATGCAACCTGGGAACAGCAGACGAAAGAAAGTATGGTGGTAGGTGGAACCAGCTGTTGTGTTAACCTTGAGTGTCTTGTGATGTCAATAGCTTGCATCATGTGACCAGTATCATTCCTAACAAAATGGCCAACAACCATATGTCCTTTTGCCAGCGTGCTGTCATTGAATTTCTTGTGAAAGAGGAAATCCCTGCTGCAGAAATTCACCAGAGACTTCAGCATGCTTATGGAAGTGTGCATGGCTGCGAGCAGTATTCGAAGATGGGTGAAACATTTTAAAGATGGGAACACCAGCATCGGAGATGAGCCTCGAAGCGGTTGTCCTCAAACAGCCTCAACTGAACGCAACAAGGAAAGAGTGGATGAGATCATTCAAGATGACAGGCGTGCGACTGTGGACACAACAGCCCGAAAACTTGGAATAGGGCACAGTGCAGTATAGGAGATGATTGAGAGCTTGGGCTATAAGAAAGTTTGTGCTCTTTGGGCCCCGCGGTTATTGACCGAAGACCACAAAGGTCAGTGAAAAGCCATCACCTCAGAACTGCTGCAGAGATATCGACACGAAAGCGATGATTTTTTGCTCTGTATTGTGACAGGTGACGAAAGCTGGTTTCACCATTTCGAGCCTGAAACGAAATGGCACCATTTGCATTCTCCATCAAAATAGAAGGCAAAGACAGTGCCATCAGCTGCAAAGGTGATGAGCACAGTCTTCTGGGATGCAGAGGGGTTTATTCTGGCTGAATTCCTGGAACCTGGGCTAACCATCAGTGCTGCTCGTTATGTCCAGATGCTGCACAAGCTCCGTCGTGCATGGCACGATAAATGTCTGGGACGAAACATCATCATCCTGCATGACAACGCTTGCCCCAACACTGCTCGCCTCACATTGGAAGCAATTGCAAAGATGGGGTGGGAAGTTCTTCCACACCCCTCCTATAGCCCTGATGTGGCACCCTCCAATTATCATCTTTTTGGATTTGTGATGGATCAACTGCGTGGGAATTTTGAGACAAGGGAGGCAATTCAGAAAGCAGTGTGTCAGTGTCTTCAGATGGCTGGAATGGAATTTTACAGAAGTGGAATTTTCAAACTCCCAGAACTCTGGAAGAAATTTGTACAAAGAAGTGGTGATTATGTGGAAAAATAAAGAAAGGTCTGTAGATTGAGGTGGTGTATTTGGTTTGTCAATAATAAACCATGTTACTTTACAAAAAATTGTTGTTCATGACCTTCAGTACGACCCTTGTATATATATATATATCTTAATATTAGCTCATCTTAATTGTATTTATATCAAGGATGACCCATCTGCACATTCATAGTATACAACATTAATTTATTTTGTATTTTATGCAACTATAATCTAAATGTTGGAATGGGCCATCCTAAATATAAGCAGAACTAAAATAAGTCAGTATTGAGATATATACAGCATGTCCTTCAGACATTCATGTAAAATAGTCTGAAGATGGCATAGAGCTTATGCTGAAACATGCAACCTACATCTGATACATTAAAATTTGTTGATGGAAACATATGCAATCTTTGTTACCATGTAACATAATAGAATGCTTCTATTCAAACCTTTAACATTATCTGAATTCAGAAGTTTAAGATTTTCTTACATTTTACATAGCCTCTTGTTTTATGTTAGGAAATCTGTCAACACAACATTGTATATATAGTCAGTCAAGTTATATACGTTTTTTATTTTCATTCATCTACACTTTTCAGCCTCATCAGCCATTCTTGTAATGGTGCTACTTATCAGTCTGTTGCCTGTATACACTTCATGAGCTCTGCTTGCCAGCCCTTTTACTGCTGTCTCTTTTTTCCCCCATCCTCCACTCATGTCCTGCTGATATGTACATTTGAAAGGAATGACCTGGTTTCAGCTGTGGTACAGACAAGGTGAGCTGCTCTATCAAAATGATTCTGTTTAGACTCTATTACAGTAATTTCTTACTCTTATATTCTTTTTACATCTAAAAAACTAAAATTAAATATTTTGTAAATGAAATAAAGCCAAACTACAAACATCAATCATAAGATGTGATTGAAAATAATGACTGTAAGCTATAACAGTGTAAAGTAGTACTCACTATTCCATCAAGCAACAGTATTCAAAAACCTGACCCAGAAAAATTAAACAATAAGTAACTTTGGAAGAAGATATTAAAGAGGATACTAGGATAAATAGCAATTATAAATTTTAATGTCAGAAACAGAATTATTTCCACATACCCTGACAGAGCTTCAAGAATCAAAATTAAAGAAAATACTCGTAGTTCCTGTTATACATAAATCTGTTCTACTAGATGCATGCAATATTGAAAGAGCAATTTTATTAGGTAAATAAAATTGGAGTTACCCACTTACACGCTTCATATTTGATGTGGAAGCCTTCACCACTGAAGGACCAATCTGACTTGAAATACAAAACTAGCTCATTCCCAACAGATGTATATGGACTGGGTAGGCTGTTACCACAGTAGCGTCCCACAGTTGAAGCACTCTGGTCCAAACCTGTTCTTATCTGAAGAGATAATTAGCATAGGACATCAGAACAACTGTTCTTCATTTACTGACTGTAACTAAATGGGGTTCTTTTTATGGAGCTACTTATTGCTCAGCTACTTAACACTTTGCGGACTGGCGATTTAAACATTTAAATCATCCTGGGGACCAGCATTTTTATACCTACTACCCTAACTTGTGCACGGTTCACTTTAAAAATTAATATAAAATCACATAATTAATTTTATGAACTACAATTTTTGGAGAACACTTACCAATGCTCCTAGAAATGCTTGAGAGTGTGATATTTCTGGAAACATTCCCCTTTGTGAAGTGGCATTACACACTTGCAAATGTGGACAGTCATAGTCCTTTTTTCGTGAACTGTGCAAACACGGCATTGCCTAGAAGGATGCTTCCCCTTGGAATGTTCACTCTTCACAATTTTCACAAGGGTATGTTTCCGCATATCAGCCGAGAGTCGCCCAGGGGTGTTCACATGAGGCCTGCGTGGGGTGGGAGTTGATGGACTAGGTCGCACTAAGTCTGTCTGACTCTGGTTCTACCGCCACCATCTGGTCTGTAGCCCAAGCCTTTGCCACATTCAACAGAAATGCTTTGTATTTCAATTTCGAATCAGGGTTTAGATTTTTGTAAACCAAAAATGAATTGAAAATGGCACAATTTATAAGCCACAAGGCAACTTTCACTTTTATTATCTGTGGCCACAATTCTTTGTTGACCCCTGTCACTTCCATTCTCTGAGTCACTAATCACTACTCCTCCACAAGGCATGTCAGATAGCTCATCGGAAAACAAGTCAGAGAGATTGCTTTGCCTTCAACTGCTTTTGTCCTTGAAACATATTCCCCTCTACTAACTTCCTGCCTGGTACATAAACAGCTGGAAGGGGCAAACTTTATTTTCTTTTGGAGTAGGGACCTCAGCCAGCCAGGTCAAGTTACTGAATACCTAGCATACATTCCAAAGATTTATTACGCAGCATTCATTGCAGTTGCCTGGCACCAGAGCAAGGTATAGTGTGTTATAACCTAACATGTCCTGAAATCATGATATCATGCAACCGGTCCGCCACGTTTAAAAGCAAAAAGCATGATATCATGCGTCCGGTCCGCAAAGTGTTAAGAAATCGCCTTCTGTGGAACCCAAGGTGAAGTCTGAATGTGAATTGTTTACTTTTAGTGAATATCACCATTTCATTTTGTACATAAATATGAAATGACAGGTGACTTTTAATATACTATGGTTGGAAATAAATTGTGTTTTGAAAGGCACCACTAAGTCAATAAATAACAATTTCTTTCAAAGGTACCAAAAGGAAAACATTACAAGTAACTTACTAAGGACCTTTTACTTCTTTGGCAAGCAACATCTCAGTAATTATACGTCAGAACACTCAAAGTTTCTGACACACCCAAACAATTGTATCAGTAATTGCAGTCTGCACCATGGAAGCCTGGATTCAGACACAGGGCACTTTATAATGAATTTGTTTTTGATGAAGTAAATTTAGGACAGGTTATCTCAGGCTGAACAGATTTCCTACTGGGAATAACCTGTCCACCAGTATTAACTGCTCACTGATCAACATCTCTGAAATGCATGAAAGGCCACACCAGCCAGCACACAATGACACTTTCCATCCACATTTGAGATTTCACCTGACTTGGCATTTGGCTGGTATGAGACAAAAGCCATTAACTTAACAAATGGCAGGTTAATCAATCTATGACATTCACTCATAAAGAAATATTTTGTTGAGCAACTTCCAGATGCTCAGAATAACAACTTTTTACTCACGGCAACATAGTCAAACAAGCAGCCACGTGAATCTTCAAGTGAGAAAGTCAGGAATGTAAGGCGTATCCGCTCACCAACTGGCAACTGAATATGCCATTCGCAGTCCATATCTTCACGGTACCTGTCAGGATGATTTGGGGAGAGAATGTCACCAGAGGGTGCGGTCAGCACACCCCCACAACCTGGAAAACCTGAAACAAAATGAACCAGTACTGCTACTGTAACGTGGTGTACACTTCCAGTTTATGTCTTGTCAAACTTCCAGATTTCTGCCTACCTAAACAGGCATAAGAATCTGTTTCTGTGATGTAAAACAGAGTCTTCATTTGATTTATGGATTCTTTGATGCCGCTGTCAGTAGCCCAAAATATATAATATAAGGTGTAATATAACATAACACTATATATAATACTGCAGGATGTAGGATGGTAGTCAACAATAACTGCTGCATTGCACAGAATTCAACTGTTTCCACATCCTCAAATATTTTGTCCTTGAACATTTTCTTAAGGTTAGGAAACAGATATAAGACAAAGTAAATTATGTTTGATGAACAGGAAAGGTGTGTCACTCATGGAAAGCTGTGCTTACCTAAAAATTGACACACAAGCTGGACTGCATGAATTTGCAACTTGCTCTAGTCTTACTTTTGTGACCATTTATGATGCAGCACATCACAAAGATACTGTGGCATACAGACCCGTTGCCAAACAGTGCCTCTATAAACAGCAGCCATTACTAGGTAACACTCACAACACCCATGCACACAATAGAAAATCAGTGTTTTCTGTGGCCCACACTGCAGCAGTTTCGGGGAAAACAGGTCAGTAAACACATTCCCATGGCAATGGACATCAATGCAATAATAAAAGGGTGGTGTTTTCAATGTGGTCTGTGCAAAGAAATTATAACCAGGACAGCTGGAACAATGAGTTCAGTTGAGCACTGCATGAGAGGCTGTGAAGAATGGACTTGAATATGTGAAGCTGAAGAATTTCCATTGTTAGAAGCCATTACTAGGAAACGGATGGTGAAGACAGCAGGCTGGAATAGGCTTAGTGGGTGCTGTGGTGATTTGCGAATTGTGGAGTATTAGCCAGTTGGCAACGACTTAAGCACAGAAGCTGAAGAATCTCCATTGTTAAGAAATGAGTGAAAGCAGGCTGAGAAGTTTTAGTATGTGCTCCAGTGATTTGTAAAGCGTGCAGATCAGTGATAGGGCTGAAATTAATTGTAGTTATAAGTCGTATGAATAAATGGTCAATAAATCCATTCACCAATCCAAACCCCAACTATAGTCACACCTCTACATGTGACAATATCTGAACACTTATAAACAATGAAGCAATTTAGAAGGGAGTTTAGATCCTACATATTACAACATATATTTTACTCTGTAGATGAATATATCTCAAGTTAATTAACCTTTAAATGCCAGACTTTTGAAGTGGTAGTAGCTTGAGCTGGCCAGAGTTTATTTAAATGCCTCCTGCTGGTGCACATTTATGTGCCCATTGTTGCTCTGCGTTTAACTGTCTGTGCCTGTTAGGGTGCTTGCGCTATATTTGAAAATGCTGTATCTAATACAGTTTTTATGATAAATGAATGGAATTAACTTTGCTTTTATCAGCAAAGAACATACTGTCGTATATTATAATGTAAGATTTGAAAATGTGTAGACAAAAATGTTATAAACTGTGGGAACATGCCACATTATCACACATTTTCTGCAACGCACACTCTTCACATCACTTTTCACCATCACGTGCGCTAACCAATCAAATTGCTCCAAACGTTCGCATTTATACTGTGCTCACTGCTAGCCCCGCATCTACATCATCTCATGCTTGGGGCCATTGCTACTATTTGCAGCATCTGATAACTCTTATCACTATGTTTCAGACATCATCATCAGTAATCTGTCAAGACGACAGGTCCACAGTCTCTTTCAAAACAATTCCTCCACTTCATGCGATCTAGAGCTTTCTCCTTCAAATGACAGTATCCTCTTCTGTCCCCAAGGTCATCCAGCATCTTCTTACGTCTTCTTCCTCGTCTTCTTGTCACTTCTATCCGCCCATCTATCTTTCCTTCGATAGCTTCTTTTAGAAGGCAGTTTCTGCGTAAAACATGACCAATCCAATTAGCCTTCCGTTTTCTTATTTCATGTAGGATATTCCTCTGCTCATTGACTCTAATTAACACTTCTTCATTTCTCACATAATCGGTCCAACTGATCTTCTCCATTCTTCTCCAACACCACATTTCGAAACTTTCCAGATGTTTCTGATCTACTGCCCTAAGTGTCCATGTTTCAGCCCCATACAGAGCTATGCTCCAAATGTAGCATTTCACTAGTTTCTTCCTCAAATTTAAGTCCAATTTGCTGGTAAAAAGATTCTTCTTCTTGCTAAATGCAGCTTTTGCCATGGCAATCCTGGATTTAATTTCACAAGTACACCTTCCATCATCTGTTAACAAGCTACCCAAATATTTAAAACATTTCACATTCTCCACTTGTTTTTGGTCTATCTTTATTGTGACTGGGGTTGGTTGTCTCGAAATTTTCATTACTTTTGTTTTCTCCACATTCATTTCCATGCCATAGCACCTTCCAATTTCAATTAGTCTATCAATCATGCCCTGTAGCACAGTTTCTTCCTTAGCCATTAACACAAGGTCATCTGCATATTTCACAGTTTGAATAATTTGCCCTCCTACTTTGAAGTCACCGAGCCCATCCAGAGCTTCCTTGGTAAGGCATTCGCTGTACAAGTTGAACAGAATTGGTGATAAACAGCATCCTTGTCGAACTCCTCTTCCAATCTGCACACTTCCTGTCTCCCCCCTGTCCAGTCGTACTCTAACTTTCTGATCCATGTACAATTTGCTAATCAATCTTCTTTCATGCCAATCGATACCTGTTTCTTTCAGGATCTGCATTAATTTGGTCCAGTTTACCCGGTCAAATGCCTTCTGCCAGTCTATGAAGCAAACACACAGTTCTTCATCTATCTCCAAAGTTCGTTCCGCTATAATTCTCATCATCCCAATTGCATCCCTGGTTCCTTTTCCTCTTCTAAATCCAAACTGATCTTCTCCAAGTACATCCTCTATTTTCCTTTCAATTCTTCTTTTAAGTATCTTTGCTATTATCTTTGCTGTATGTGCAATAAGACTTATTGTGCGATGGTCGCTGCATTTTGTAGCTTTTGTCTTTTTCTTTAAGGCAATCATTGTAACTTCTGTAAAGTCCTTGGGCCACTCTCCACTTTCATATATGGTGTTCATTAGTTTTGTCAGTGTTTTCAAACCACCTTCTCCCAGTAACTTGAGCACATCTCCAGGTACATCATCATCTCCTGTAGCCTTTCCCTTCCTCATTTCCTTGATAGCTTTTTCCACCTCACTTTGTAAAATATATGGTCCTTTCTCGTCTGTATCTACTTCTTCTTCCGGTTCAACTTCTAAGGTTTCTGGCCGATTAGGTCGATCATATAGTTCTGAAATATAATTTTCCCAAATTTTCAGCACTTGCCTCTGATCTACTATTCTATTCCCCTGGGAGTCTTCGATGCCAACATTTTGAATCCCATGATTCTCTTTCCATCCTAGTTCTTTTGTCTTCATGTACATCAAATCATAACGGCCTGTTCTTTGAAATTCCATAATCTCATTACATATCTTCTCAAGATATTCCTTTTTGGCCCTGTCCATGGCTCTTTTCAATTCATTCCTCAGTCTCCTGTATTTCCTCCTGCCTTCTTCATTGTTGACATTCTTCCATTTCCTTCGCTCCTCCATTTTACTCATCATCTCCTGTGTAACCCATGGTTTTCTTGCAACATGTTTGCAAAATTTAATGCATATTTTGTTCTGCAGCCTTGGATATCTTTAAATCAAAACATAAAAAAACACAAGGTTTTGAAACCCTGATCATGAAAGAAATAAGCAATTTTATGTGCTATAAGTATTCCAGGGCCTGCAGTAACATCTAAGGATGTTCATTACATCCATATTCCTGATCAGTGCAATTTATGTTAGATATAAGAACAATATTATTAACTTTTTATAAAACTTGTATATATCAGCTTAACTTAAATACCCATGTACATTTTCAAACAGTTTTCATTAAAATATTCCAATCAATCTTCTGAAAGAGAGAAAGGTCTGTATACATCAATAGTACGTTACATAAAAATGCTGTATTTCTTAACAAAAATTGAAATCATCATGTCCCTGGCAATATGCAATAACTTAAATTTACAAAATAAACACTATATCAATACTATTATATTAACAGAAAATCATGGACAAGATGGAAGACTGACAGAAAGTTATTAATATCAACTGAAATATGTGTCATGAGATAAGCAGTAGGTTGTCCTTTCTCTCCATAAAATAAATAAAGAATTAAGAGACAATTAGTTTTCATAAATAAGAGATTTAGTACATTTTGTAAGTCATAAATGAAATCAAAGCTTTCAGAAGAATAAGAAGTCTTTAAACCATCAGATTTAGACAAAAGCAAGTATAAACACTATATAAGAATAATGAAAAGAAAAAGAATACTGAAAGAGATTATAGCATAAAAATAAGGGGGGGGGGGGANAGGAAACCGTAACAGACCACATGGCCCAGTACCTGATGAGATGATGATGATAATGACAACAATGGCGATGATGACAACAATGACAACACTAAAAACAATGGAAAATTAGTTCCAATAGGATAACACAAAAAATATATAAATATTAACCCTGAGGAAGAAAGTTGAAATGAAGACCTAGAAAAATTTCTGTTTTCAATTACTAACAGGGCAACTAGGCCTGAAACAGAAGACAATGTTCACACCACTTCATTTTGATGGAAGGATTTCCAATGTATAATCAAGAATATTGCAACTGCATGTTTGAAAGATGACTGAAGCTCCATTTCATTAATGCTGTTTTTTATTGTTGGTCTTCAGACAGAAATTACCTTGAATGCTGGAGTAAGAGAGCTGAAAGCCAGCATCATTCACTGCTTCATTGGTATGGAAGTGCACAGTGGCCTGGTTACCAGGCATTGTAAGTGGCCTTGGGTGGGACATATTGCAGTACACTGCAAATCGGTTCATCTGCCATCCTGACAGAATCTGAAACATGTTGCAGAATATCTTTCACATCTATAGAACAGTAGATACAAATTATATCTCTAACAGTTAGATAAAAGAATGATATGACTTTCAAATCTGTCAGAGGTCATTTGGTCCATACGTGGTCTGACAGATAACTTGACAGACTATGTAGAAAAATATATACAGTATATGTATTGTTACTAACTCCTAATTGACTGTTGCCATCTCCAAGAACCCACCTTCTGATATTATACAAATAATCCATTCCTGGAAATACTGCTGTAAATCACTGTCTGGAAGTCATCTTTTCATTATTGTCACACTGTTCTGAGTATATTTAAGTCTTTCAAAATGAGACCATTTCAAGTGATATTTTAGCACATAATAATGTGATCCACAGCCAACTTAACTGTCATCTGGATAGCACAATAATGTGATCCATGCCTAACAAAGTTTAATTAAGTCTGGTGAGAATGTCATTGCACTACTTGTTACAAATCACCTTGATCTTCCTAATTTTGTTTTAAAACAGAGTGTAAAATATTTTCACCTCCTGCTATTGGCAGGAAAGACAGGAAGAGGATGCTATACTGCTCTAAAATGTATCACTGATATAGTGGATTAAAAACAAAGTCATACAAAATATCTATGGAGACAATGCTTTAGGAACAACCACTTGGACTAACAAAATAGGAAGGAAGGATTGTTTCAAAATGGGTATCATCTCAACAGATTTTAGTTATGTATACTGGATTCAGTTGTCTCAGTATGAGATCATATCTCAGGTTTTAGATGATGCTGAACGTTTGGATTCCAAAACCAGACTGTAACTTATCAGCCAGTTCTTTCTCTAATGTAAAATTTAGATTGTAAAAGACAAGATACAAACCTCAAGGTAGTCATTGCTACAGTTAGCAGATGCCTCAATCTGCATTGTGTAGAAGTGGAACTGAATGCGCCGGTTTGATGGAGCAAGTAATGTCCAAAAACAATCGCGGTTGTTGGGGTACCGGCCTGGAGAACCAGGTGATGACAAGGTTCCATGTGTTGTAAAGGAAATTGGGTTCGCTGAACCGCACACTGAGAATAATAAATATAAATTATCAGTCATGATAACAATCTCATATTGGAGTATGTAAACAAAGAGTTTAAACTTAAACTTAGGTTCAATTTCATGGGTACCGAAATCCAATTTTAGAGTCTCAAGAAATGTACTCCTTATCCACAGACATACCAAACTCATTTTCACTGTGACTCACATAAAATGGCTTTAGACATAACCAAAATTTAGAATAATGTTATATTTTAGTGTCCTGTTGCACTGATTTATGTCCATGATTTATTCTGACCGTCTTACAGTGCATACATTTATTCACCTTACTCTTCTCTCTTGCACTACATGTTTTGGCACTAAAGTGCCATCTTCAGGTGCTTTTCGATGTACGTCGAACTACTGCATTGCATGCCCTGTTGTCTTTATACTAAAATAACTAAAATATATATTCATCATATATATTGCTAAATTTTAAATATTAAAAATGTTAAAACTCTTCGTATTTCAGTATGCGAGTCACACCTATCTTCTTCTGTCAGAGTATTCTTCCTACTTTCATACACATACTACTTCATAAAAATTACTCAGTAGGTGGAAGCAATATAATTAGTTTAAAGCTCAAACTTTAAAAAATAGCAACACCTTTTGTATGGGGGGTTTAAAAGGACATCATGAAAAAAGAAGTTGTGATAGGTGTTGATTTTCTTTGTGTTGTGTTTACATATCACTTAACAGCCATATTGGATGATAAGAAACTTATTATTATAATACAAAACAAAAACAAATGAATATAGATCACTATTACCAACATGAACATTTTTTACATTACTAGATTCTCAACAATAGGGTCCCTAAAAATGTTTACATTATTAACTCAGAAGGAAAAAATGCTGACATAAATACCTCTATAATGTGGATATATTCTGTGTGTGAGGTCAATACCAGCAACAATGATCTACGCTTATGCATGAATGCACAGGCACATGCTCATGTGAACACACACAATACATTTAATGGAGGAAAGATGAATGGACAAATGAAGAGGAAACACACACCTACAAAAACTGTTAATTGTACATACAGTATGTGCATTGATTGCCTAAACATGTAATTTATAATAAAATAGACTATAAGGGAAGAGGAAGCAATGCTAAAATAATCAAACAGACATCAAACCTGGGTCTGTAGAGTTCCAGGTGAGAGAAAACCCACTGCGAGCATTGGAGTGATCTGTGCGGAACCATAAGTAGATCTTGTTGTGGGTTGATGTGATATTTGGAATGCTGTTGCAATATCGTCCCAGCATATGAGCTCCTGCTGATCTGCCATCGTGGATCTGTGGACAATGAATGGATCAGTGCTGGAAGACAACTTATATGCCCATTACATGAAGGGAATTCACATTCATGGTTTATACTTTCATAAATGAAGGCAAAAATCTAGTTAAATCATGTCAATAGCGGCCATGTATCATGACAGTACAGGACTACACAGGTGATTCTCATTATATGCACGTCTGTTTTTCGCATTTTGGCATATACAGTTTCACTTCAATGCCATGAAGAGTGTTATTATATTCTTGGCAGCCAAAGTAGAAACTGTCATGCATGCCAGTGGGTTTCATGCGCATATTCCCTGACTTCCTCCTTAATTTTGACTTAGCCTGACACTTGTTACCCTTCCTCCACTGTGTTCAGCATTCATTCAATGCATTTCCTGTTTGACATATTTTCAACATGCAGCAGTTTCAGCAATGCAATCCACACATATAATGGGAGACGGTGAACAGTGAAGTGGAAGGTGTATCTGATGCCACAAATCTTTACTGTAGTATTGAGATGGAAAGTGAAAGAAACTGTAAGTGTTGTGAAGGGTTAAAAGTGGAACTTAAGAAGGTGTAATTAGAATTTAGTTCAGTAAAATCTTTTGCATGTATATAATTTGGTAAACACAGTGGAGGTCCCGACTAGAGCTACAAAGAATACTAAATCATTGATTGATGTAATCATTATAAATAATAGTAATTATACAAAATCATCAGTAGTAATGGATCTAGGTTTTTCAGATCATTATGCTCAAGTACTATCTACATGTATTGAGAATTTTGTAAGAAATTTTGTAAGGAGATCATTAAAAGTTAGGAGGAGAATGTTTAATGAAGGAGGCATGGAAGAACTGCAATACATTTTAAACAAAGAATCGTGGCAAGATGTGTTTTTAGAATCCAATGTAAATGGGAAATTTAAGGTTTTTATGGAAACTTCCCATTATTACTTTGATATGGTTTTCCCCTTAAAATTATTTAACCAGAGTAAACAACAAAAGAAAGGTTGGGTTACTCATGGAATAAGAAAGTCCAGTAAAAGGATGAGTCGGTTGAATAGTTTGCAAAAGAGAACAAATCTTACAGTAAAAGAACAGGAGTATATACATATATATTGAATGATATATAAGAGAGTAATAAGAGAAGCTAAGAAAAGGGAAAATGATAGGCATATGGCTAATGCAAAAAACAAAACTAGAGCAATGTGGCAAATAGTGAATAAGGAATTAGGAAATAACCTGCAAAGGGAACTGGGAATAGAACTAAAGTGCGGGACAAGGAAAGAGGCAAATCCACAGCGTATAGCTGAAATGTTTAATTTATATTTCACGGACATAGTAGGAAAGCTTGTCAAGCAAAATAATAGTACGATGTTGTGCTGTAAAACACCACAAAGAATAAATACCTGTAATGAAACTGTGGGAACATCCCACATTATCACGCATTTCTACAATGCTCGCTCTTCACGTCACTTCACCATCTCGCGCGCTAACCACTCAGATTGCTTAAAACGTTCGCATTTATACTGCACTCGCTGCTAGCCCGCATTTACACCATTACGCGCGCTAGCCAATCAATTCTTCCTCCTCAATTTCAAGTTTAGCTCCGCCCACCGAGCAGTGTATAAAAAGGGGCAGCTCCAACGCCGAGTATTCAGATTCAGTTGATCATCAGTCTACGAGCTAGCCACACCAAGCAACACCAGCCAGCAGGCTTCGTCGCCAGCACTCGGTCTTCGGAGGCATGGGCAGGCTGCGCCAGGCACGACTGCCTCGGCCCTCTGGCTCTCTCACACCCGACTCACTGGGGCACCGCGCCTGGACTCGCCGGTGGTCGTGTTACTGTCCGACCCACTGGGCATCTGGCGTAGCCACTGCCTCATGGCTCCTACGACCGCGCTCAACGACTAGCCTTTCACCAGCAGCCGCTGCGCTGAGATCAAGCAACCTCCAACTCAAACTGCCGCACGGCAACCAAGCAACCTCCAGCCACGGCCGCACTGCAGCCAGGCTACTCACCGCAACTAGCCTCTCTCCTTACCGGCGCGCGCCGCGCTACCTCTCCGATCAAGCATCTCAGCAACCACGGTCCTTTTCAGGACCAACAAACTGTTCCGAAGAAGTGGGTTGTCATCAGAGTAATGACAAAACTACATTAAGACCCCCCCCACAAAACCATGTTTATTTGTCCAGTGACAAAAAACGAGATATTAGAAGTGGTGAAGAAATTTAGGGGGAAATTTTCAGCAGGTACCGATGAAATACCGGATTATGTGGTTAAAAAATGTATAGAAGCAGTTAAACCGCCATTAGCCCACATTCATAATGCCTCTCTAGAAGCAGGTATTTTCCCAGAGAGATTTAAGATAGCAAAAGTAAAACCACTTCATAAAAAGGGAGACAAGAAGGATATGAAAAATTATAGACAAATATCTCTTTTGTGTGCTTTCTTGAAAATCTTGGAAAAGTTGATGTGTAAGAGGTTACTCTCCTTTTTGACAAAAAATACCATATTAACAGAGGCCCAACATGGATTTAGGATGAATAGGTCAACTGAGACTGCAATTTACTCTTTTCTAGCAAATATACAGGAATCAGCTGAGAAAAAAGAAAAAAGAATTTTTTGTGATTTGACTAAAGCGTATGATGCCATAAATCATGACACCTTACTTCCTAAATTACAAACATATGGAGTCAGAGGTGTGGCAAACTTATATGGTTTAAATCATATTTGGCTTACCAGAAGCAAGTTGTTGAAATACTTGTGATGGCAAAAAATATTTATCGGCTCCAAGAGCAATTAAATATGGAGTATCATAGGGTTCAGTGCTTGGGCCATTATTATTTTTATTATACATAAATAATCTGCCTTTGAATATCAAAGGGGCAAGAATAGTTTTGTTTGCAGATGATATAAATATTTTGGTAACAGCTGAAAAGGGACATATCCTGCAGCATGAATGAGTTATATGGAAGGTTCAATGCAAATAATCTTATATTGAATATTGAGAAAACAATAGCAATGGCATTTCATAATAGACAAGAAAGAGATTTGATGAAAACTCAAAATCAAATTTGGCAAAATGGAAATCTCCTATAAATGTCAAACGAAATTTCTAGGTATACATAGAACATATGGAGTGGAAAGCACATATGATGTTCTTAAGCTCAAAACTTCATAAAGTCTGTTACATGATAAAATCCCTTAGGGATGTAAAAAGCCGACATGTTATAAGGAGTATTTACTTTGCTCACTTCCATGCTTATTTGGAGTATTGTTTAATTTTCTGGGGTAGCGACCCAAAAAGTAAAATTATATTTATATTGCAGAAACGGACTGTTAGAATAATTAGTGGTGTAAGTAGATTAGCATCATGTAGACAACTTTTTAAGGATTTAAACTTGCTTCCACTACCTTGTATGTATATATCTGGAATAGTATGCCATGTTAAACTACATTTAGAAAAGTCAGAACAAAATAACGTAGTTCATAATCACAATACACGTCATAAGTTAAATCTCCATGCTCAGTTTTGGAGAACAAATGCCTATAAAAAAGGAGTACTGAACATGGGAATAAAATTATACAATAAAATACCAAATAAAATTAGGGAGATAGAAAAAATGAGTTTAAAAAAGTAATGAGGTCATATTTGGTACAACATACATCTTATTCTGTAGAGGAATATATGTTAAATTAAAGATGGTATGTTTGTGAAAGGGAGGTATTTATTTTTAATTACAGAAATTGAAATATTGTATGTTTAATGTGTATGGAACGTTTTCTTATGACAGTGATTTAATAAGGAAGGAAGAATGGATTGGTTGATTTATTGATTGATTGATTGATGTGAAATGGATTGAATTGGTTACTCTGTTGGGGAATTTATGTTGTCTTAAATTTTTAATATAGTTTTATATGGTATGTTGGACATATACACAATTTGTGTATGTAGTTAAATATTATAGTATTGTTGACTTTTGTACAAATAATTTGACTTGTTCTACATCTGGAGGCTGTATTGCAAAATGTGGATTTCTGGAACCAATTTCATTTATTTCATTTCCATAGATCTATACAGAAAACAAGTTCCATGAGATGTGGAAATAGTCAAGTTTGAATCTTAACATAGATACAATGAAAAACATAGAAAACAAGTTATAGAAATAAATTCAAGAATACATAAATTAATATAATTACATTTCAAAATAACAATTAGTATATAGTAAGCAATCATAATTCTGCCAAGACCCTTTATATATATTGTTATGTTAATTGTAATAATAAGTGAACAATTAATAATTACTTTAGCAAAATAAAATCATCTATTAAAAAATTCATCAAGTGTGTAGAAGGAATTATTACTCAAAAAGTCCTTCAATTTGACTTTAAATTGATTAGGTATGGAAGCAATTTCTTTAAGATTATAAGGGAGTGCATTAAAGACCTTCACCGCCATGTGGGACACGCCCCTACCATATACAGCCAGATTCACCTGGTTCATATGTAGATCCATTCTCCGTCTAGTTAATAAATCATGATAGTCATTGTTTAGAGCAAACTTGTCTCTATTTTTAACAACGAACATCATCAGTAAGTATACATATTGAGCTCTTAAAGGGAGTATATTTAATTCCTTGAATCTATTTCTACACGATTGTTTATATCCACAACCAACCATTAATCGTATAGCTCTTTTTTGCATCCTAAAAACCTTTTCAGCAGAAGCTGAATTACCCCAGAATATCAAGCCATAGGACATGACAGAATGGAAATAAGAGTTATAAATAATTTTCAGGGTAGTAATAGTCATTATGGGTTTCATGTTCCTTATCATATAACAAGCTGAACTCAGCCTAGTTAACAGCTCATCAATATGTCTTTCCCAATTCATAGTTCTAGTAATAGTTATACCAAGGAATTTAAGATCGTAAGAGCTCGTGATTTGTGTTAGTATGTTACCTACATCCCTTCCAATAGACGCCTTGTTGTTAGCAGTAAAATTTATACAACATGTTTTTACAGTGTTTAAAGACAATAAATTTTTTGAAAACCAATCACTAAGTATAAAATAAACCTCATCTAGTAAATTCTTTAGCTGCCCAGAATTGGGATGTGATACCAAGACACTTGTATCATCAGCAAATAAAATAGGTATACTGTTTAACTCCAAGATCTTAGGTAGGTCATTAATATAAATTATAAAAATTATAAAAATATGAATACGAATATGAGTCACCCATAACTAAAACAACTTTTACTACATTGTTACTTGCATCAAATAGAAATTTTAATTATACAGTGCCAAACTTATGCACAAAATTACAAATATTTAAGACTGGAAATGTCAAAAAATTCAACACCAAATACTGGTACCATATTTTGTTATGAACACTAACCTGCAAGAAGTCAAACTGACAATTTGGAGAATGCTCTATATCAAACTTTGTGAAATTCAACTGTAGCACTTTTGTAGTGTTGGTAGTAATGCGCCATGCACAGTTCACATTGTGGCCATACTCTATGCTGCCAGAGTGTGGGTACTGAAGTCTGCCTGACAGACCAAACAGATCACCACCACAAGCTGCAGAAACAAAAGATCAAAAATACTCTAGGTACATCAGGCTAGACAAAAATAAATGCTTCATGGTCATTGGAGCAAGTATCAACAAACACATGCAAACACAGGCACATGGATGTATGCATGCATGTGCATGCACACACACAATATATAATATAAAGCACATCATTAAACAAATATATGAAACGGTTAAACAGTAAAGCTATCCCTGTAACAGACCATGGAGGCCCATGGGGTTGTGAAATGTCAAGGCTCCCACATTTTCTAGAGAAACGGCTCACAGAGAGGGATGAGACTGTGAGCCTTAAACACCAGCCTCCCTTTGCTCCCAGGAAGGTTCCTGGGACACATTTCTTTTAGAGGCTGAGGCAGACCAGGGCTATAGTGTGGATAAGAACAATTGAAAAATCTAATAACACTGAGAATTGAACCTGTGACTTTCTGGCTTGTAGCATAGTGCCTCAATGAAATACACTACCACATGCGCAAAAAAAAGGAAATCTACATTACACAATTCAGAGACAGACTTTTCGATATTACAATACATTTTCATCCAAATATCAGAAAATAAACTCTGTGGTCTGTAGTCCGCAAGCAAAACTGACCGAGCAACCATCACTTGTCGGTGAAAAATACAGCAGGCCTAACAGATTACTCCAGCACACTGAGGTACTTACCACCAGTAACTGTTCCTTTAAAGCAAAATCGTCTCACAACACACCTAGATGACAAATCACACTAGACTGTTAGCCCAGGCAAATTCACTCCCACATTCTGCTTCTACAAATTTCCTATAAATCTAGTTGCCACCTCCAAAAACTAGGAGTGAGAATAAAATATAACATACTCCATGTGAGGAATCTGATAAATTTTTAACCAAACATGTACTCATAAGAAACAGCCAGTTCCTGTCAAGCTCAAGGCAATAGCAACGCACCACTGCTATGATACAGGGCAAACAAGTAATCACTTACCACTGCTAGGATATGGGAACAAACCAAATTACGTGGTGCAATCCAAAAGTTCCCGAAATATATTAATATAAACTATTACATCTTCCCTAGATCTTATTCTGCACCATTACCTTCAAAGTAGTCCCCTTGGGAGCACATACATCGATCCCAGCGTTTCTGCCACTTTTCAAATGGATCCTGGAAGTCTTTCTTTGTTAGGGTGTTTAGTACCGTCTGTGTTTCCACTTGAATTTCCTCAACTGTATAAAATCTTCGCCCCTTCAACCTGATTTTCATCTTGGGGAAGAGAAAGAAGTCGCATGGAGCTAAGTCTGGCGAGTACGGTGGGTGGGGAACAACTGCCATCTTGTTTTTAGCGAAAAATTCCTGCACAATGTAAGTCGTATGCGGTCACGCGTTGTCATGGTGGAGTACCCAGTCGTTCGTGCGCCACTTCTCTGGACGTTTTCTCCTCATGTNTGGGAGCACATACATCGATCCCAGCGTTTCTGCCACTTTTCAAATGGATCCTGGAAGTCTTTCTTTGTTAGGGTGTTTAGTACCACCTGTGTTTCCACTTCAATTTCCTCAACTGTATAAAATCTTCGCCCCTTCAACCTGATTTTCATCNGGGCCGAGGTGAAGAAGGGTTCTTCCATTGCGATGAATGCTGCTTGCTTTCAGGGTCATAACCATAAACCCAACTTTCGTCACCAGTGACAACCTTCGAAAGAAAGTCTGGATCCTCTTGAAGCTGTTGCTGAAGTTCTCTGCAGACTTCCAAGCGATGCTGCTTCTGTTCATTTTGCAGCAGTCATGGCACAAACTTTGCCGCAATCCTCCTCATGTTCAGTTCCTCTGACAAAATTCGTTGACATGTACCATAACTTAGTCCCAAGGTGTTACACAGGTCTTGGATGGTCAGTCTACGATCTTGCAGAATCAGATCCCTAACCTTCGCGACATTTTCTGGTGTTCTGCCCGTTGACGGCCATCCCGAATGATCGTCATCATCAGTCAATGTTCAGCCATTTTTAAAACGCTTAAACCAGTTGTAAGTTTGTGTCTGGCCTAAACTGTTTTCACCAAAAGCTTGCTTCAACATTTGGTGCGTTTCTGCAGTGGTTTTCCCAAGTTTGAAACAAAACTTTATACAGACACGCTGCTCTCTCAGGTCAGCCATCGCAAAACCGCAAACTCACGGAAACACAACAATGGAAATACGTTCACCAACAATAAACCCAACCACTCAACTCGACACCGCTTGCCACACTGATTCAAGAAGGATGTGTGAGGAGACACCTAGCGGTATTTCGATGTACTCATAACCATTCGCGCGCAAAATTCAAATTTCGGAAACTTTTGGATTGCCCCATGTATCTCCTGCCATTCACAGGATATGAGAAGAATGATGACAGGATGGACAAATAAAAAGAGCAGACAGGAGAGAAGAAGATAAGTGAAAGAAGGTGTAGAGGAATGGAACATCTGAACAAATAAATTGAGATCAAGGAATTTATTTTCTCAATATGATATAAAAAAATTCAAGACTCAAACATGTCAAGGGTGCATGCTTGCATATACGAAAGGGGACCCAAAAATAACCGGAAACGACCTGTTGCGCGCGCATGCTTTGTAGTTACGAGTTGTGCTGCTAGGTGGTGTTAGCTGGGGGTCTCCCACGACTGTTAGTGAGCTGGCGTCAGTCTGAGTTAAGTGGTTTGTCTGTGGTGCTCTGTTGTGTGCGTTCCTGTTTCAACCCTTTGGCGATTAGTGAGATGGCCGACCAGAAGGAACAAAGAGTGTGCGTGAAATTTATGAAGATCGTCGAAAGACCATTGACCAACTTTCTGAGGAAACGAACATCTCATGGAGCACGGTCCAGCGAATTTTAACCGAAGGTTTGCACATGAGACGGGTGTCTGCAAAATTTGTTCCTCGCTTGCTCGGAGATGACCAAAGAGAAAACCGCGTGAATGTTTGCCGCGACTTGAAGAGTGAAGTGCAGTTTTCCCTAACAGAAAGCAAAATTTCACGCACACTCTTTGTTCCTTCTGGTCGGCCATCTCACTAATCGCCAAAGGGTTGAAACAGGAACGCACACAACAGAGCACCACAGACAAACCACTTAACTCAGACTGACGCCAGCTCACTAACAGTCGCGGGAGACCCCCAGCTAACACCACCTAGCAGCACAACTCGTAACTACAAAGCATGCGCGCGCAACAGGTCGGTTCCAGTTATTTTTGGGTCCCCCCTCGTATGTTATCGAATTTCAATCAAATCAAATTTGTGTCATTTGCAAATATTATGTTTCTGATTAGTCCCACATTCCTGTATGGTAAAGGTTAAAGTTGCAAACATTGCTAAAGAATGAAAACAGATGACATTACAACAAAAAATCACTGTACCAAGCAATACACCATATTCTATGCAGTGCTAGATACTCACTCTGTTCTTCTTCCTCACAATTGGAACCTCTGAACCCTTCTGTACAAACACACCGATACCCAGTGACACCAATCTGTACACAAGTGCCAGAATTCTGACAAGGCTGACTTGAACATGGGTCGACAGGCACATTACATAAACTCCCTGCAACATGCACAGAAAACACATACATATCCAGGTTTTCTATTAAGCTAACGATGAAAATGATCACTCAGTACTAGTCTCATTTTGTTTACTTCTGCGGCACATTGCAACACACATATTAACCTTTAAACGCTGGGCTTTTGAAATATTGGTAAGCTTGAGCTGGCCAGAGTTTATTTAAATGCCCACTGCTGGTGCACGTTTAAATGCACATTGCTACTCTGCGTTTAAATGTCCGTTCCTGTTAGGGTGCTTAAAAAATTTTAGGCATTGTGTTTAGAAATGCTGTGTCTAACACAATTTTTATGATAAATGGATGGAATTAACTTTGTTTGTACCAGCAATGAACATAGTGTCGCATATTACAACGGAAGATTTGAAAATTTTTATACAAAAGTTATACTCTATTTTCAATATTTTTCTTTTAATTTAAATGTGTACTGCAAAATTGGTTTCCAAGTTCTTCACAGAGTTATTCTGCATTATAAATTCATCTATTTGTAACATTTGACGAGTTTTAGCAGTCCCTCGTGCCATGAAACAGATGGAAGCAATAAAATCATTTGGTTCTCTGCTGGAAAACCTTACATCTTTGTTACACTCTTCAGATTTTCGAATCTTTTGACTAAATGACAGAAGAATGAAAGCATGGCTATTCAAGAAACAGCTAGAGGGGTCCCTTCTTCAGTGCTAAGACTTTCTGTTATAGCTGCAAAAGATTATTGCCCTTTCTATGGGTGTGAACAGAGCAGCTGCATCGTGGCTCAGATACAGAGTGCGATCTGTTTTCTGTGCATTCATAGTGAAATCAAATACTGTAGTTTCATTTCAGCCTATATATATATCAAGCAGATAACAACAAAAGAGGTATGTACATCGAATTTTACTATATATTTTTAACACATTAATCTCCAGAATCTGCAATAAAAGTACTGGCTCGTGGATGAGTTTGGGCATAACTCATATGTATAACCTTTTTGTTGTTGTTCACCTAGGTATCATTTTAATTCCTCTACTAGGATTTTACTCAAGTCGGTCTGGTAATTACTACACTTAAAAATAAAAATTTAGGACTGTGCATGCGCTTCTACTAGTGGTGTGTGCACGCCCTTCCACTAGCGGAGTTTAAATGCCCGACTGGCCAAAACGGGGTACTTTGGCCACGACGAGCTTACTCATCATTGGCCTGAACGCGGCACTTCGGACGTTAAAGGTTAATTTTTGCAAGCATTAATCAGATGGCAGTCTCAGAGTAAAGTTGCCATCTCTCAGTATACCATCATAAGTGTGTCTGTCCGCATTTCTTATTGCAGTCTTCTCTTCCCCCCCTCCCCATTCCAACTATCTCTCCAGTCTCCTCCTCTTTCAATCACTGTCCGTTGCAGTATAGCTGTATGGCTTACCTGTAGACTTTCACACAAGTATTGATACACAATGCATGTTGACTGTCAATGCAGTAAGGCTGGAATATAATTTTTAGACACTGAAATTTCAGTAGCTACATCCCAGTAAATTTTATTAATATACTAAATTAAATGAAAAACAGACTTTATAGAAATTGACATCACAATAAAAAATCTGCAACAAGAAAACCAATAAAACATGCATTTTGTCTTTCTCTTTCTCATGTCTGACAGTTATTTTTATCTTTTTATCACCTATTCACATGGAACAAGTGCAAAAATCGACTTCTGAAGTTGGAACATTCGGGTAGATAAATTTTCGATTAAAATGGATCATTTTTTTCACATTTAATTTTCATCAATAAATACAATAATATTCATGAATAACATACATTATATGTGGAAGGTTGAAAAAAGGATCCATTTTAACTGACAATTCAATGATGACAGATATGTATTCAAAGACCACCTTATGATCTCTGCAGATTGAAACATGTAGTGGGATATAAAAATAAAACTTAGTATTAACACCTTAATATCAGCTTTATAATCAAATAATCCAATCTTTTTTGGGGTTCAAGTAATTCTGCATATAACTCTGATCTCATTAATTCACCACATTTATTTCCATATAAAAAGGTCTACTGTAAAATTAGAGAAAGAAGAAAAAAGTTCGCAAACCCTACAAGGGTCAAACTATCAAAAGTAATACTATTCTTTTTTCTTTTTTGTTTCCATTTGGGATTTTTCAATGTACAAAAACATTCCAATTTCTTCTACCTTTCTGCAATCTTTCATTTTGCATTTCTTGCTAAACTACCTTCACACAGCTGACTGCCCAGAAGACTTAATCATATGTAGTTGTGAAAGCTTCAGATCATGCACACTATACCACAGTACTCAGAACAGAGACTAAAGAACAGTTACTGGGGCACAGTCATACTGGTGACCTCAGAGACATATATACCTGTGTATCCAGAATGACACACACACATCGGTAGACCAGCGAAGTTTATTACACATGCACCATTCACACAGTGGATAGCATCGCATGAGTTCACACTTCCTCCACCTGTACTGCCACCACCAGATGCTGGCATACAGCCTGCGGGGCCAACACCAGATCCCACATATCCACTGGGACAGATGCATTCAACATATGACTGACTGATACCTGAGAAGAAAGCCAATTATTGACTCGTTATTATGAGTATCAAGCCCTATATAGTCTTATGCAGACTCAACTTTGTTAACCACTTTCTTTCTAGTATTTATGGTAACACAGCAAAACTGTGATTCTGCTGTATGTTAACTGGATGTCTTGACATATCACTGACTTCATTACTCTTGGCAAAACTTGGACACTGTACAGAACTTCTACACAGCACAGCAAAAACCTCTACATGTAGCAGTTTCTTGTAATTACTTCTGACTCAGATCATATAATAAAAAATACTGAACTATTTCAATATATATTACAAAAGTTGTTTTAGTATCAAAGATAATTACTTGTAAGAATATGCTTCAAAAAAAACGTAACCTTTGCAGCCCAACGATTACTATATTGTAGCATGTATACCATTGCTATGGAATAGGTGAATAAACAAATGTGTCATGCAACCAATTTCTAGGCAAGAGATTGGGAAACATGCCTCTACAACAATACAGTTATTGTCAGAAACAGTGTTTTCTATTAGGTCTGTGCAAAGTGGTTATAAAGTAGAGAATTGGGGTAACCACTTCAGTTGCAAGATGATGACCAACCAACAATGGCATGGGGGCACAAAGCTGAAGAATTTCCACTGTTAGAAGTTGTTGTCAGGATATAACTAGTGAACACTGAGAAGAATTAGCGTGTGCTGATTTGTGAACTGCGGTGATCAGAAATAGCACTGTAATCACTTATAGTTCTGAGTGACGTGTATAGGTGGTCAATAAATCTGTTCACCAATCCATACACCATGTATAATATGCTCCTAAATCATGACAATATTGTGACGTGCTGCACTATGGAGGACACCACCCCCCCCGGCCAGCGGTGACGTGCCGAACGGAGCCGAAGTGAGCCAAAGTGACCCCGAGTCCAAGCAAAGCGGTTGCTAGGCAAAGCAAGTAAACAGCGGTAATGTAACACGGGACGCCGCAGTTGCTACGTAGCTGTAATCAACTCCCAACAGCGTTGCTAGGCTATCGGCAAACACAGCGACTAGGCAACAAGGAAGCAAGGCATTTCCCGTTGTCCGGCTGAGGGTTTATAAGGGAACTACACAGCCTATGAAGACAGTTAAAGTGTATCCATCCCCGGAGACAGTTAATGTGTAGCGGCCGCCGAAGACAGTTAAAGTGTACACAGCCGCCAAAGACAGTTAAATTGTAGCAGCCTACGAAGCGAATTAAAGTGTAGCAGCCTATGAAGTGAGCTGAGATATAGCAGCCGCCTAAGACAGTTAAAGTGTAGCAGCCTACAAAGCAAGTTAAAACGCAGAAGCCGCCGAAGACAGTTGGAATATAGCAGCAGTAGTGGAAAGAAGAATACCAGAACGTGTGATTAGAAGTGATAGCGTGAGAAGCAGATGCTTGGCTCACAAGAGAAGTAATTGGGAGTGTGTAATATAGAGAGACTTGTATAGCTCCCGTACTGTGAATACGTGTAGACTACTGAGGACAGTGTGAAGAGATTTGTGTGTAGGGTTTGTAAAGTGTGGAAACCCATAATAGTTATAATTAATTGTAGCCGAAACTTGTAGGTTGTTAAATAAACCAATTAACAATCCGAACGGCGTCTTCAGTAACAAAAACACGTTACAATATATACACTGTGTCTGAGCATACTATACTTCTGTATCCTGCTCACAAAATCCATCTATGTGCTTTGTATGGTTCTCAGAATGAACAGCATTTGTTTCCCTGAACAGCAGTGAATCATTGGTCTTTGTAGTGGAGATTTCATGTGAGGTACAAACTGAAATTTCATATATTGTTTAGAAGAAATTCAGTCTTTAAAGGGTTAATTTACTTAATATCTGCACTGAAATTACTAAGAACAAAACTGCTGTAAAAACATTCCCCACTTTTCAAATTTCCACCCAGAACAAAGCAGTCTCTAGGACAACAGTGATTGGGTTAAGACTTACAAAACCTGTAAAAATGTACAAAATGTACAACATGCACAACATTTTGTAAAACTGTTCTGCTTGGAAAGAAGTTTTGGTCATACTTACGAGGGTTGTCCAGGCAGCGGGCCAGTGGGTGACAGCCACCATTGTCAATTGCACAGACCCCACGGAAGGTACACACTTGTCCATCTCCCTGATAGCCTGGAGGACACTGACCACATACACGGGAGCCCTGCAATTCAATTCAATTCTTCAATTCAATTCTTTATTATTAATGTGCCGAGTCAACAGCCGCAAGGCCAATTACAGACTCAGCACAGTGTAGATGACTGAATTACATTACATACAAACTTATTAGAAGTCAAATACAAAATACAGTTAAGTAATTGGAAGAAATAATAACGAATAAATGTAAAAGTAAACAAACAAATAAGCGATAATTATAACAGTAATAATAATTCCATTATCATTAAACTAAGTGCTATTACGAATAGAGGAATGAAACATTAATATTTAATTAAGAATTAAATAGTATAGATTTTCTGAGGAAAATTACGTAATTCATTTTGCTTTATATAATAATATATAATATAAATACTATATAAATACTAACAGTTACTATACTAATAATATACTAATAATATAAATACTAACAGTTATACTGTATTTAAAATATGTTTGGGTAGAACATTCCTGGCTCCGAATACGTCAACCTCCCTGCAGACAACATTAGCAGCTGCTGCGCATCTAGCAGAGGGACAATTCTTAAATGAAGGGCAAATATTGAACAATGCAAAATCTCTGATATACCGAGCAGGAACTCGGAGACCAACAATTTCCAGGACAGAAGGGCAGAATTTAGAGCCAAAATAAACTTGAAT